TACTGTGATTTACATGTGTCTGGAGCAGGGTGTACTGTGATTTATGTGTGTCTGGAGCAGGGTGTACTGTGACTTACATGTGTCTTGAGCAGAATGTACTGTGATTTATGTGTGTCTGGAGCAGGGTGTACTGTGACTGACATGTGTCTGGAGCAGGGTGTACTGTGACTGGCATGTGTCTGGAGCAGGGTGTACTGTGAGTTATGTGTGTCTGGAGCTGGGTGAACTGTGATTTATGTGTGTCTGGAGCAGGGTGTACTGTGATTTACATGTGTCTGGAGCAGAATGTACTGTGATTTATGTGTGTCTCTGGAGCAGAATGTACTGTGATTTATGTGTCTGGAGCAGAAAAGTGTACTGTGATTTATGTGTCTGGAGCAGGGTGTACTGTGATTTATGTGTGTCTGGAGCAGGGTGTACTGTGACTTACATGTGTCTGGAGCAGGGTGTACTGTGACTTACATGTGTCTTGAGCAGAATGTACTGTGACTTATGTGTGTCTTGAGCAGAATGTACTGTGACTTACATGAGTCCTTGAGCAGAATGTACTGTGATTTATGTATCTGGAGCAAGGTGTACTGTGACTTACATGTGTCTGGAGCAGGGTGTACTGTGATTTATGTGTGTCTGAAGCAGGGTGTACTGTGATTTATGTGTGTCTGGATTAGGTTGTACTGTGATTTATGTGTGTCTGGAGCAGGGTGTACTGTAATTTACATGTGTCTGGAGCAGGGTGTACTGTGACTTACATGTGTCTTGAGCAGAATGTACTGTGATTTATGTGTGTCTGGAGCAGGGTGTGCTGTGATTTATGTGTGTCTGGAGCAGGGTGTACTGTGATTTATGTGTGTCTGGAGCAGGGTGTACTGTAATTTACATGTGTCTTGAGCAGGGTGTACTGTGACTGACATGTGTCTGGAGCAGGGTGTACTGTGACTTACATGTGTCTTGAGCAGAATGTACTGTGATTTATGTGTGTCTGGAGCAGGGTGTACTGTGATTTACATGTGTCTGGAGCAGGGTGTACTGTGATTTATGTGTGTCTGGAGCAGGGTGTACTGTGACTTACATGTGTCTGGAGCAGAATGTACTGTGATTTATGTGTCTTGAGCAGAATGTACTGTGACTTACATGTGTCTTGAGCAGAATGTACTGTGATTTATGTGTGACTGGAGCAGGGTGTACTGTGATTTATGTGTGTTTGGAGCAGGGTGTACTGTGATTTATGTGTGTCTGGAGCAGGGTGTACTGTGATTTATGTGTCTGGAGCAGGGTGTACTGTGACTTACATGAGTCTTGAGCAGAATGTACTGTGATTTATGTGTGTCTGGAGCAGGGTGTACTGTGACTTACATGTGTCTGGAGCAGGGTGTACTGTGATTTACATGTGTCTGGAGCAGGGTGTACTGTGACTTATGTGTGTCTGGAGCAGGGTGTACTGTGACTTACATGTGTCTGGAGCAGGGTGTACTGTGATTTACATGTGTCTGGAGCAGAATGTACTGTGACTTATGTGTGTCTGGAGCAGGGTGTACTGTGATTTACATGTGTCTGGAGCAGGGGTGTACTGTAATTTACATGTGTCTGGAGCAGGGGTGTACTGTAATTTACATGTGTCTGGAGCCGGGTGTACTGTGATTTATGTGTCTGGAGCAGGGGTGTACTGTGATTTACATGTGTCTGGAGCAGGGTGTACTGTAAAGTACATGTGTCTGGAGCAGGGGTGTACTGTGAAGTACATGTGTCTGGAGCAGGGGTGTACTGTAAAGTACATGTGTCTGGAGCAGGGTGTACTGTGATTTACATGTGTCTGGAGCTGGGTGTATTGTGATTTATATGTCTGGAGCAGGGTGTACTGTAAAGTACATGTGTCTGGAGCAGGGGTGTACTGTGATTTACATGTGTCTGGAGCAGGGTGTACTGTGATTTACATGTGTCTGGAGCAGGGGTGTACTGTGATTTACATGTGTCTGGAGCAGGGGTGTACTGTGATTTACATGTGTCTGGAGCAGGGGTGTACTGTGAAGTACATGTGTCTGGAGCAGGGGTGTACTGTGATTTACATGTGTCTGGAGCAGGGTGCACTGTGATTTATGTGTGTCTGGAGCAGAGTGTACAGTGATTTATGTGTGTCTGGAGCAGGGTGTACTGTAATTTACATGTGTCTGGAGCAGGGTGTACTGTGAAGTACATGTGTCTGGAGCAGGGATGTACTGTTATTTACATGTGTCTGGAGCAGGGTGTACTGTGATTTACATGTGTCTGGAGCAGGGGTGTACTGTGAAGTACATGTGTCTGGAGCAGGGGTGTACTGTGATTTACATGTGTCTGGAGCAGGGTGTACTGTGATTTACATGTGTCTGGAGCAGGGGTGTACTGTGAAGTACATGTGTCTGGAGCAGGGTGTACTGTTAAGTACATCTGTCTGGAGCAGGAATTATTGTGATTTAGATCTGTTTGGACCCGGGTGTACTGTGAGGCACATCTGCCTGGACCCGGGTGTACTGAGTTTACTTTAAACATGATATCTCTATTCACCACATGTACAGGGTTACAAGACAGAGACGTGCCAGTCAGTTGCCCTTAACAAGTTATGACAACATCATTTATGCTGCCATTAGCTCCAGGATCAGTATGAGCTGTAAGACAGTGTCACTTATTAAAGTGTATGTTTCCAGCTGTTTACACATACTTTCAACACCAGGGTTGTACTGTTACATTGACTGTGGTACATATAATGTCAACATGACTGACAGATTTTGATTATCCAGCCTGCAATTGGCTCTGGACTCGTCATCAACACAGGCTTAAATAAAGGTGCCCATGTTTCTAGACATTACCAAACTAGGCCGATCACTAGGTCCACCTGGATGGCTGCAGGGTTATGGAATACAATATAGTACTCATGTCTAATACACTCTTCAAAAAACAGAAACACATAAGCCATTTTAAGAAGAATTTATTGTGTTAGTTTAAGAGCAATTATTTCATGTAATTTCAATGGTAAAGGTGAAAATTCACACATCTATGGAGTTCCGCAACACAACAGCACTCTTTATTGTTGTGTTTCTGTTTACTTGAGTCCACTTGTCAAAGTCAGTACTTTGTTTGGCCTCCATTGGAAGCAATTACTGCTCGGCACTGTCTCGGCACTGTCTCGGCACAGACTGGATAAGTCGACGAAGTCGCTCTTGCGGAATTCTTCCCCACTCTTCCTGCAATGTGATGGCCAGTTGTGGAAGTGTCTGAGGCATTTTTTGACATTGACATATACGTCGATCAAATTCATCCCATAGATGTTCTATCGGGTTTCGATATGGTGATGGGGAAGGCCATGACAAGACATTGACATTAGAATTGGCAAGGTTGTGGACCGTGACGTGTGCTGTATGTGAAGTAGCGTTGTCATGCAGGAACAACTCCCACTGTCGGTTCATAATCAGAAGCATGTGATGTGCAAGGACTTCATTGATGTACCTATTAGCTGTCAAATTCCCCTGAACCACCACTAAATCAGATATTTGTGTGCTGAATATCACACCCCACACCATGACACTGTCTCCACCAAACCTGTCAACCTGTCGAATGCAATTAGGGGCAAAACATTTCTTTCGTCGGTGAAGAAGAAACTCGCCTCCTGTTTCTAAGGTTCCAGTTCCAAACTCTACAACACCACTGCAACGGATTGCGCCGATGGAAGTTTTTCAAAATAGGGGCAACAACTGGTCCTCTTGGTCGATTCCCCACTTCACACAATTGATTCCTGACAGTTTGGTTGGAAATTCTTCTCAAACCAGGGATGTGTTGTGCAGTCTCCATGGCTGTGGCAAGACAATGACGCAACTGAGCAACCCGGATGTAGCGGTCCTGGGCATGGATAATAACTCTTGGACGGCTGCTTCTCGGGCAATTTTGGGCAGAATTGGTCTGCAGGAAATTATCCCAAAGTTGAGGTGGTCTGATGAACGTTGAAATGTCGGGCAACTACAGACTGCGACTCCCCAGCTTCAAGGTGGCCTATGGCGATGTTCGATTGGCAGCACTCAGTCATGGCATGATGATTTCGTCTTTTCCAGACTAAAACCAATGAGAAAATTAAGCACAACATTTGCCTTTTTATAGTGATGGATACTGCATGCTTTCCTGCTTACTTGTACATGCATTTTGCTTTGCATGTTTTCTTGGTGACGTTTTGGTGAACATATCTTCAAATGCTTCTAAAACAAGGGAAAAAGTAAAATTGCCGTGTCTTGGCGCTGAAGCTGTTTACAATCACACAAAGATGATGTTTCAGAAAGAAATAGTCTATTTGTATTGCTTTTGCCACAGCTACATGAGTCCAATATTCTCAAAATTTCTTTTTTTGAAGAGTGTATATCATACTCTCTGCACAAGGAAACGGTTAATAAGTCGCATTTATGTTTCTCACTCACTCATGTTTCTCATTACTCTATAGATAATGGCCACCTGTATATGATGTACAGTATGCAGTTCACCTGTCTCCTGGACATTACACTTCATAGTAAGGACACCTGCCTATAGGGCATGTTAATCTGTGCACCTGTCATCAGGACATCACACTGTTTAATCTGGACCCCTGTCTATAATGTACATCTGTGATTCTACCCTTGTTTATACCTGTGCCTGTGTCTGTCTAACCTCTGCTGAAAGCCAGTATGTGAGAGACTGTAGCTTCAGGCTTTATACACAACTGCCATTGTTTACAGAGGTGCATGGAGATCTAGATATGCTGTCTCAACAGTAATAACTCAACTAATAAGGACGTCTTTGTGCAATGGTTAGTGCCTGCAGCTGTCACGGGGAGTCGTTAACACACTCGACTGTACTTGGATGGCTGCCAGCCAGGACACAGGACTCAAGGGTTCCACATGATTCAGTGTGAACTCATCCATAGAAAAACAAATGGAGAAATTGATTTGCCACATGTGAAAACAATGGAGCGAGTTACTGATTTAAAGTGATCACAATAATTGTTCCTGTTACCAATATATTATTGATTTAATAAACTTGAGATGTTACTTCTTTGAATACAACAGCAGTCAGTGAAGGTACAACAGCAACAGCATAGTCGATGATGTCAATGGCTGGGCAGAGAAGATGCTGCTGCCAACACAAGAACCTCTTGGCATATTGCACTGACTGCTATCCCTTGATGACACATGGACAGGGTCGTCCCAGCTGCAGCTGTCCAGGTGATGCTACCCTTTGGGGCTGTTGTTAGTGTGGCATCCTTCATTGGTTTCAGAGATCTAAGAAACACAGCCCATGTAGCCATCTTGTTGGATCCAGGTAGAACATTGTCTTGTATAGCCAGGAGCAAGACCAAACATGATGCAAGATCCACTGAGTGAAGTGGATGAAGCAGCCCCTCACATGTGTAGCAGGAACACTGTTCCTGTGGTGTCCTGAAACTTACATGGGAGGCCTCAGTCAACAGGTTCAATCAATGATGCTGGACTGCATCCTTCACGATGCATGGCACATGTGACCTTGTTCTGGAAGTAGAAAAGACTTGTGTAGATTGTTTCAACCTTGTCCTCCTGCATGGATGGGATGAGGTGGATCGAACAAGGATGGGGAAGCAGAATGTTTTGTCATCAAACTGACAATGTTAACTTACATAAGTGTGTTTGGGAAAGTCAGTATATGACCTGAGTGATAACCATAGCTTTTGGTACAGGTTTGTATATTACCTGTACAGTGTGTTTGGGAAAGTCAGTATATGACACTGTACAATGAATTTGGAAAAGTCGCAAACACACAGTACAGTGTCATACACAATTATGTGACAGTCTTTATATGATCCTATATAAAGTCTGTGTATAACACTGAATATGAAGCCATGAAACTTTAATGAATAACAAGTTTGAAACATTCCAGGGCTACTGTTTAAGCTGTCATCAGTTTAATACTGGGCAGGCTAAGTTGATACATTCCAGGGCTACTGTTTAAGCTGTCATCAAGTTAGTACTGGGCAGGCTAAGTTGATACATTCCAGGGCTACTGTTTAAGCTGTCATCAAGTTAGTACTGGGCAGGCTATAAGTTGATACATTCCAGGGCTACTGTTTAAGCTGTTATCAAGTTAGTACTGGGCAGGGTAAGTTGATACATTCCAGGGCTACTGTTTAAGCTGTCATCAAGTTAGTACTGGGCAGGGTAAGTTGATACATTCCAGGGCTACTGTTTCAGCTATCATCAAGTTAGTACTGGGCAGGGTAGGTTGAAACATTCCAGGGCTACTGTTTCAGCTATCATCAGGTTAGTACTGGGCAGGCTAAGCTGATACATAGGCATGGTGATATGTTTACACAGGGTTGGATTAATGAACAAAGAAGATGATATAACAGTGGGATGAGTAGTGGGAAGCCAATTATGTGAGAACAGCTAGTGTGATGGTGTTAAGACAGAGATCTGACTAGGGTGACAACCTAACAATCAACCTACCCATACCTGGTACATCAGTACAGAAGCAGTAGGGTAGCACAGTAGTGAATGCTTTCCTCCATCATGACAAAGACCTTGGTTCAAATCTCCCAAATGTTCAATATGTGAATCACATTTATAATGCCCCCTACCATGATCTTGCTGAAATACTGTGGGAAGTGGTGTAAAACTATATACACTTCAATGTACAGAGTAGTGTAAATAAGTGATTATGAAATAATAACTATGTGTTTTTTTTCAAATGAATAAATATTTTGACCAGCTGCAACCTGTCCAGACAGTTATCTGAGTATACTTGAAGACAACAAAACGGTATTGTATGTGTCTCTCCAACAAGCTCTGCCCCCACAAATATAGGTGCATGGACAGACCCTGTGGACAATCAATAATAGGATTTGTCAAATCCAAAAAGCTATTTCCTCATTGAACAGATAAGCTGTGGTATAAAGTCTGATAGCATTTATTACCCAGCCTTATCCTACTGTCTGTTTGTGTGAGTGTGTGTGGGTACACACACACAAACACACCCACCCCTCACCAGTGTAACGGTACAGCTACCCTGCTAGCGGCCAGTCAGTGTACGGAGTGAAACACTCTCCTGAAGTCATTACTATTGGGGACAATACACCCGAGCAGATCCATAATCGCTGCCTGGCCACTGGAGTAAATGGCCTGCAAAGCATGATGGGAAGAAAGTGAGAGTTGCCAACATGGTTATACCAATGGAAGTTTAACAGTTGAGGAATACTTGGGATCTGGAAGATATGGCCACCTTCAGAGAATGTGGTAGAACACTGGTGAGGTCTTATGTAGTTTCTGCTGTTGTCCGAGAGTCGGTTGTCACTACCCACTCTGTGACTATAGTTAGCTGAAGTAATCACATTAATATGTGTGATTTTAACATTCACTGCTTGATAGTTGCTAGGGTTGAGCTCTTTAAACGCTGCTTATAGCATGAGAGGGTTCTCACTAGGTCACTTCAGCTCTATATCCTGATATAGAACATAGACTGTACATTAGTTTAGTATTGTTTTTCTCCTTTCAGAATGTCAGATATTTGTGTGTGTTACTGATTTTGTCAACTCCCCTCCATGTGCCCACTGAATGTATTTCTGTATGATTTTCTGCCACTGTACAGGGGATAAAGTTAACTTAGGTGTTTTCTGGGTTTGTTTCATCAATGAAATTAGATATATATCCCCAGTATGTGTTATTTAATTACCCTCTCTTAATACATTGTACTCAACACCTTTTATGTCCCAGTAACTGTGACAATGGTAAGAGGACAACACTCAACAGTTACACAACCTATTCACATTTAATGGCATTTCATTAAAGAGGCAGGAGCTGTCTGTGTCTCTGTTTTCTATCTTGGTAAAGTATAGTTTAAAGAATTAAAAATAAATGTCCTGGTTTTGGTCTCCTACAGGAAGAGAGCTGAGTGTCACCTGGTAAATTGCATTTTTATATGCATGAAAATATGAACCAATGATAAGACTGATATCACAATACACAATAAATTCTAGCTCCAAACATTTATTATTTTCTCAAAACAAAAACCTTTTTATCATTAACATAAAATCCACCATGACTACAAGTGATGCCAGGATACCTACTGCACAGGAGGCAACTCTAACAGTTCCAGGTCTATCGATAGTATATCACGATCTCACAAGCTCACAGTATCAATGATATTGTAGGTATTGATGAATCCTTACTGTTCTATAGTGAGTGAGTTAGTTAAGTTTTACACCACTTTTAACAATATTCCAGCAATATCACGTTGGTGGACACCAGAAATGGGTTTCACATTGTACCCATTTGTGGAATTGAACCCGGGTCTTTGGTGTGATGAACTTTAACCATTAGGCTACCCCACCGCCCTCTATTCTAAAGACTAGCCCAAGTTAACATGTAACTTCCTTGTACAACATGAGACACTGGTTACAATGTTTCATTCCAGATGAACTTGCTTTCACTTGATGGCGTGGCTATTGTTGTACACTTCTATAAACTAGACTATTTCTTGTGCCCTGTCCCCTTCCACCCCATCCCTCACTGAATGGTTTCACTGTGAGGAATACAAATTTAACCAACTTCTATATATATTAAGTACCTGAAGTGTGTACAAGCTAGCAAGTAATATCTGTTCAATCAGCAGGACATTCCATACAGTGACACTCTACTGTTGGCAACAAGCAGTGATACAAGACCCTATCTTCAGCACAGTCAGCTGGCATTGTGGGAAGTATAGGATTTGTACACCTATTGTAACTCCAAGATAGACTGATATCAGTATCAAGGAGCACTTCAATACCTTAAGCTGTGTATACATTTACATAAAGAATGTTAGAAAACAAATCAGTGGTATCTGTTAACGCAATACGTAACTGTATCATCAACACAGCTGTGTACAGACCAATGAGAAGGACAGGTATTCGTCCAACACCATCTCCCAGGTTCATTTCTAACTGTAGTCTCACAAGTAATAGCCACAGTAACTGTAATCTTAATTACTCAACTCTACTTACACGGCTGAGTAATTATGAAAGGTGAGTGTGTGTGTTGTCTAGCAGGGTAGTGTCAGGCTAATGACCCAGGGTGTGTTATGCTGGTTGTCCTCATGCTAAGCTTACACCGGTCTGTCCTTGTAGGGGTAGGGCCTGTAAGCATGCAGATATACAACTCACAGAGAGTTATGGATCACTCGATTTATCCTTATTACTATACATAATGTGTCATGCCATGGCAGATTACCTGTAGTAATATGAGAGAATCTGGTCATCCTTAACATATTCACAGTAGGATATAACACCTGCAGTCCTGACTTCAGTAATGAGTGGTCTAGTGTTGTTCATAACACTGTCTTGGTTGAAGGAATTACAAGTCACCTGTTCCTATATTTAGAATCACTGTAATGTGTAGTACTGATTATATTTCTGTAATTATGTGGCTTTTCCCTTGGTGCAGCATTCATGATTTCTTGACTTATTGACTGATGAGTGACATTTTGAAATATCTGGGAATAGAATGACATCTAAACCTGTCTTTTTTTATCCTGTGCACCCAAAAAGTCCTCACAGTAAATGGCAGATGGGATGTACATGTATTTGCAGCGTGCCAACGGATCTCATTCACTGTTCCGCCGCCATATAGCTGGAATATTGCTGAGTGCGGCGTAAAACTAAACTCACTCACTCACTCATTCACTGTTCCACCTGTGGAGAAATAGTGCAATGTGAACTCATTATAAACCATTTCATTCAATTTGAGTTTGTCTTCAATCTATTTATTCACAATGATTTGGTTTAACAAACCTCCCCAAATCAGCAGTGATATCAGTTGGGTTTTAAATATTAGTCTTCGTTCACCTGATGACAGTTTTATAATATGTTCATTTCTCTCACTTCTACCTTTGGTAAGTTAATGGTTAAAGTTTCACCACTAACCCAAGTTCAATTTCCCACATGGAAGCAATATGTGAAGCTCATGTCATGTCATGTCATGTCCTGACACTCACTCACTCACTCACTCACTCCTCTCCACTCACTCACTCCACTCCACTCCTCTCCACTCCACTCCACTCCACTCCACTCCACTCCACTCCACTCCACTCCACTCCACTCCACTCCACTCCACTGTCATACAGTCAGTCACACCGTTAGCAGCAAACAGCCCCTCCTGGCAGACTTCACGACAAGTCAACATAGAAATATTAGGGTGTATGACTCTGATCGAGTGTTTGCATAACATGCATGAGGCAAGCCAACATTAATGAATGGTACAATCAATAATCAATACACAAACATCACTCTTACATTTACGCAGGTAGTGACAGATTTAGAATATTCATTGTAACACTGTCATTGGCTATATTATTATTTCTTGAGAGTTGTTTAGCAACAGTGCTCAGTTGCACTAAGTGATCATAGTACTGCAACCATCGTAAACCTATGTTAAACTACAATAGCTTCATGCATCAGGGTCCAGATCTCATACAAACTGTCTATCATCAGCGTTTCTAAACATTAAGGTTTATTCTCACTTTGGCTTAAGTATCTGTATGGGAAAGGGAATATGCAATGTCTGTATGGGAAAGGGAACATGTAATGTCTGTATGGGAAAGGGAATATGAAATGGAATATGTAATGTCTGTATAGGCAAGAGAATATGTAATGTCTGTATGTATGTAATGGAGGAAAGAGAAATGTAATGTAATGTATGGGAAAGGGAATATGTAATGTCTGTATGGAAATTGAATATGTAATGTCTGTATAGGCAAGAGAATATGTAATGTGTAATGTATGTATGGGAAAGGGAATATGTAATGTCTGTATGGGAAAATATGTAATGTCTGTAAAGGGGTAATGTCTGTATGGGGAAGGGGGCAAGAGAATATGTATGTATGTATGTAATGTATGTAATGTCTGTATGGAATATGTAATGTCTGTAAGGGAAAATATGTAATGTCTGTATGGAAAATGGAATATGTAATGTCTGTATGGGAAAGGAAATATATGTAATGTCTGTATGGGAAAGGGAATATGTAATGTCTGTATGGGAAAGGGAATATGTAATGTCTGTATGGGAAAGATGAATATGTAATGTCTGTATGGGAAAGGGAATATGTAATGTCTGTATGGGAAATGTAATGTCTGTATGGGAAATGTAATGTCTGTATGGGAAAGGGAATATGTAATGTCTGTATGGGTAATGTCTGTATGGGAAAGGGAATATGTAATGTCTGTATAGGGAAAGGGAATATGTAATGTCTGTATGGGAAAGGGAATATGTAATGTCTGTATGGGAAAGGGAATATGTAATGTCTGTATGGGAAAGGGAATATGTAATGTCTGTATGGGAAAGAGAATATGTAATGTCTGTATGGGAAAGGGAATATGTAATGTCTGGGATGTAATGTCTGTATGGGAAAGGAATATGTAATGTCTGTATGGGAAAGAGAAATATGTAATGTCTGTATGGGAAAGGGAATATGTAATGTCTGTATGGGATCTGTAAGGCAAGAGAATATGTAATGTCTGTATGGGAAGGGAATAATGTAATGTCTGTATGGGCAAGAGAATATGTAATGTCTGTATGGGAAAGGGAATATGTAATGTCTGTATGGGAAAGGAATATGTAATGTCTGTATGGGAAAGGGAATATGTAATGTCTGTATGGGAAAGGGAATATGTAATGTCTGTATGGGAAAGGGAATATGTAATATCTGTATGGGAAAGGAATATGTAATGTCTGTATGGGAAAGGGAATATGTAATGTCTGTATGGGAAAGGGAATATGTAATGTCTGTATGGGAAAGGGAATATGTAATGTCTGGGTATGGAATGTCTGTATTGGAAGGGAATAATGTCTGTAAGGGAATATGTAATGTCTGTATGGGAAAGGGAATATGTAATGTCTGTATGGGAAAGGGAATATGTAATGTCTGTATGGGAAAGGGAATATGTAATGTCTGTATGGGAAAGGGAATATGTAATGTCTGTATGGGAAAGGGAATATGTAATGTCTGTATGAGGGAAAGGGAATATGTAATGTCTGTATGAGAAAGGGAATATGTAATGTCTGTATGGGAATGGGAATATGTAATGTCTGTATGGGAAAGGGAATATGTAATGTCTGTATGTATGAGAAAGGGAATATGTTAATGTCTGTATGGGCAAGAGAATATGTGATGGGACAAAGAAAAAAGTACATTATGTTTTCTGACTGGCTACCATCTCCAGTCTGTTGAATGTTTTAAACCTGGAAAATGTAAACTGTAACCTGTTCAGTATATGTTATTTAAAATACATTGAAATGAGTGTCCAGTTGTATAGCTGTAGTGAATGTTTGATGCACTGATGCTGTAGATTCTGAGAAGGGTCCATTCAAATAGAGAATACTTTAATCCTATGCTATTCACAAAGCTTACACAACTAATCCCAAGTTTTATTTTTGATATCAATGAAGGAAGATCATTGATAAGTATATGCAAGCTTTGTATGTTCAAGCTCAATTTAACCAGTATCTGGACGTAAAGCAATGTACACCTTCGTTTCCCTGTCATTTAGCTGTCACAATCCTGGCAGTGCCATCAATCAGAGCCACAGTGAGGGGGATACTGTCAACTGAATGTTTGCTAAAGCAGTCTCTATAAGCAATAACAGGGTCTTTATCCCCTGTGTTGGGGATATATATTGCAGTACTGAAGAGTTGGGTATGTGAACAACAGCCTACAGAGTCAGCTGTTCACACTTGTATTTGTATATTTTGTTGTTATGTGGGAACGATTTATAACATGGATCGAGGTGGAAGACCAGTGTGTGCTCTTTCAGGACACTTGAAATGGCAATAAAGAGAGAGTGCTCTGAGAGCGGACAATATGTCTGATTGAATACTTCATGCTAGGTACTCATGTGGTGGTGTCACTGAAGAACTGACTCCCTAATACTGCATCAGCTCCTTGTTGGGTCACAGGGGTGGCCCAGTCATCTGAGACATCACAAATCACTGTGCAGAGTTGCATCCCTTGGGTAGTCAGAAAAGTAGGATCATTGGTTTAAATCCTCTTTCAACCCGAATGTTTCTAAGTATTTCAGTTTCCCTACAAAGTCAAGGAAACTACTTCACTTTGGCAAAGAAATGTCACTTTTAGCCCAAGGAATACCAAATGCCTCCACCTGCTCAATTAATGCTGAAAGATTTAGTATCTAGCAGGTGGATTTGTTAGACCACAGACATTATTTTGTCAGTTTATGGAAATCAGTCCAGGGGAATTCCTTCACTGGCATTTTCAAATCTGGATTAGAAAAATACACTGAGAATAATTCATGAAGAGAATGAACCTAGTTATGAAAAATATTGATCAATTTATGTCATTTCTGACCCTTCCTGACATACATGATCATCTAGTGACCTTTTGAACTTACAACAGTGTATGGAGAACCTTGGGTGGAGGATTATATAACAATGTTTGATGTGGCCACGAGAGCATGTCATAGTGGGTGACCTATGTAAACATGGCCAGGTTGGAAATGTTGTCCCTGGCATAAACACACTCAGGACATGGGAATATGGCCAAAATAACCCCTGGTGCTAAGTGTTTAAGCGTAGGTTAATGTCCTCCTCAAGGTGATCTGGACTTTGTATGCTTGATGCAGGACATTGAAGTCCCTATCACCTGCAGTGGTGGGACACAACCCACTTGTATCATGTTGGTCCACCAGCTTGATGCAGTACATTGAAGTCCCTATCACCTGCAGTGGTGGGACACAACCCACTTGTACCATGTTGGTCCACCAGCTTGATGCAGTACATTGAAGTCCCTATCACCTGCAGTGGTGGGACACAACCCACTTGTACCATGTTGGTCCACCAGCTTGATGCAGTACATTGATGTCCCTATCACCTGCAGTGGTGGGACACAACCCACTTGTACCATGTTGGTCCACCAGCTTGATGCAGTACATTGAAGTCCCTATCACCTGCAGTGGTGGGACACAACCCACTTACCATGTTACCATGTTGGTCCACCAGCTTGATGCAGTACATTGAAGTCCCTATCACCTGCACTGTGGTGGGACACCTGCAGTGGTGAACCCAACCCACTGTATCATGTTGGTCCACCAGCTTGATGCAGTACATTGAAGTCCCTATCACCTGCAGTGGTGGGACACAACCCACTTGTATCACGTTGGTCCACCAGCTTGATGCAGTACATTGAAGTCCCTATCACCTGCAGTGGTGGGACACAACCGACTTGTACCACGTTGGTCCACCAGCATGATGCACTTTACCAGGTGACGCAGAACCACAAAGCCAGTCCTGCCCCACTCTTGTTTGAACTGAAATTGTATGTGCAGTCATAAAGAAAAATGACAGCCTGACAAAACCAATGATATAGTACACGTCAGTGATATAATAAAGTTTATACATGTTTATGCATGTACAGACTATGTTGCATTAGTTTATTTAAATTAAACATAGTCTTTAAATAAAAATGAAGAGGACGCATATTTGTCAGTAAACGGTAATGTGATAAACATACATGACTCAATCCGTTTTGTTTAGGTTCCTGTATTAAATTAGTGAGATTCACAATAGCAGGGTTTACACATTGTGTTAGGAATCATACATGATACCACTAGGGGAGTGATCTGTTACCTATTCCAACGATGTTGTAGGTCAGTTAGGTGCTGTCTGTCTTGTGCTAGCATATTCTGTTTTTGTTTCAGGAGGACTTTCTGGCTACTGATGATCTGTTTGTGGAGTACTTCAATGCCTACCTCTCCCTGCCAGTAAGTAGTCCCATACCTCTCACTGCCAGTAAGTAGTCCCATACCTCTCACTGCCAGTAAGTAGTCCCATACCTCTCACTGCCAGTAAGTAGTCCGCTGTCCCATACCTCTCACTGCCAGTAAGTAGTCTGCTGTCCCATACCTCTCACTGCCAGTAAGTAGTCCCATACCTCTCACTGCCAGTAAGTAGTCCCATACCTCTCACTGCCAGTAAGTAGTCTGCTGTCCCATACCTCTCACTGCCAGTAAGTAGTCCCATACCTCTCACTGCCAGTAAGTAGTCCCATACCTCTCACTGCCAGTAAGTAGTCCCATACCTCTCACTGCCAGTAAGTAGTCTGCTGTCCCATACCTCTCACTGCCAGTAAGTAGTCCCATGTCCCCTCTCACTGCCAGTAAGTAGTCTGCTGTCCCATACCTCTCACTGCCAGTAAGTAGTCCCATACCTCTCACTGCCAGTAAGTAGTCCCATACCTCTGCCAGTTAGTAGTAGTAGTCTGTCCCATACCTCTCACTGCCAGTAAGTAGTCTGCTGTCCCATACCTCTCACTGCCAGTAAGTAGTCTGCTGTCCCATACCTCTCACTGCCAGTAAGTAGTCCCATACCTCTCACTGCCAGTAAGTAGTCTGCTGTCCCATACCTCTCACTGCCAGTAAGTAGTCCCATACCTCTCACTGCCAGTAAGTAGTCTGCTGTCCCATACCTCACTGCCAGTAGTAGTAGTCTGTAGTCCCATACCTCTCACTGCCAGTAAGTAGTCTGCTGTCCCATACCTCTCACTGCCAGTAGTCCCAAGTAGTCTGCTGTCCCATACCTCTCACTGCCAGTAAGTAGTCTGCTGTCCCATACCTCTCACTGCCAGTAAGTAGTCTGCTGTCCCATACCTCTCACTGCCAGTAAGTAGTCCCATACCTCTCACTGCCAGTAAGTAGTCTGTTGTCCCATACCTCTCACTGCCAGTAAGTAGTCAGTTGTCCCATACCTCTCATCTGCCAGTAAGTCCCATCCTCTACTGCCATGCAGTCACTTGTCCCAAACCTCTCACTGCCAGTAAGTAGTCCCATAACTCTCACTGCCAGTGAGTAGCCATACCTCTCACTGCCAGTAAGTAGTCTGCTGTCCCATCTCACTCACTGCCAGTCAGTTGTCCCATACCTCTCACTGCCAGTAAGTAGTCCACTACCTCTCACTGCCAGTAAGTAGTCTGTTGTCCCATACCTCTCACTGGGAGAAGCCAGTCAGTTGCCTCATAACTCTCATCTGAGTAGCCAATCAGCTACTATACATGCTCTCTGCTGGGAGTACCTCCACTGCCAGTAAGTAGTCTACATAACTCTCATCTGAGTAGTCTGCTGCTACTATACATGCTCTCACTGGGAGTAGCCAGTCAGTTGCTACATAACTCTCATCTGAGTAGCCAATCAGCCAATATACATGCTCTCACTGGGAGTAGCCAGTCAGTTGCCTCATAACTCTCATCTGAGTAGCCAATCAGCTACTATACATGCTCTCACTGGGAGTAGCCAGTCAGTTGCTACATAACTCTCATCTGAGTAGCCAATCAGCTACTATACATGCTCTCACTGGGAGTAGCCAGTCAGTTTCTGCATAACTCTCATCTGAGTAGCCAATCAGCTACTATACATGCTCTCACTGGGAGTAGCCAGTCAGTTGCCTCATAACTCTCATCTGAGTAGCCAATCAGCTACTATACATGCTCTCACTGGGAGTGGCCAGTCAGCTACAATATATACTCTCACTGGGACTGGCCAGTCAGCAACCATATATACTCTCACTGGGAGAGGCCAGTCAGCTACAATATATACTCTCACTGGGAGAGGCCAGTCAGCTACAATATATACTCTCACTGGGAGTGGCCAGTCAGCTACAATATATACTCTCACTGGGAGTGGCCAGTCAGCTACAATATATACTCTCACTGGGAGTGGCCAGTCAGCTACAATATATACTCTCACTGGGAGTGGCCAATCAGCAACCATATATACTCTCACTGGAGGAGGCCAGTCAGCAACCATATATACTCTCACTGGGAGTGGCCAATCAGCAACCATATATACTCTCACTGGGAGAGGCCAGTCAGCTACAATATATACTCTCACTGGGAGAGGCCAGTCAGCAACCATATATGCTCTCACTGGGAGAGGCCAGTCAGCTAAAATATATACTCTCACTATGGCCACTCAGCTACAATATATACTCTCACTGGGAGAGGCCAATCAGCAACCATATATACTCTCACTGGGAGAGGCCAGTCAGCTACAATATATACTCTCACTGGGAATGGCCAGTCAGCTACAATATATACTCTCACTGGGAGTGGCCAGTCAGCTACAATATATACTCTCACTGGGAGAGGCCAGTCAGCTACAATATATACTCTCACTGGGAGTGGCCAGTCAGCAACCATATATACTCTCACTGGGAGAGGCCAGTCAGCTACAATATATACTCTCACTGGGAGTGGCCACTCAGCTACAATATATACTCTCACTGGGAGAGGCCAATCAGCAACCATATATACTCTCACTGGGAGAGGCCAGTCAACTACAATATATACTCTCACTGGGAGTGGCCAGTCAGCTACAATATATACTCTCACTGGGAGTGGCCAGTCAGCAACCATATATACTCTCACTGGGAGAGGCCAGTCAGCAACCATATATACTCTCACTGGGACTGGCCAGTCAGCAACCATATATACTCTCACTGGGAGAGGCCAGTCAGCTACAATATATACTCTCACTGGGAGAGGCCAGTCAGCTACAATATATACTCTCACTGGGAGAGGCCAGTCAGCTACAATATATACTCACTGGGAGTGGCCAGTCAGCTACACATATATACTCTCACTGGGAGTGGCCAGTCAGCTACAATATATGCTCTCTCAATGGGAGTGGCCAATCAGCAACCATATATATACTCACTGGGAGAGGCCAGTCAGCAACCATATATACTCTCACTGGGAGTGGCCAATCAGCAACCATATATACTCTCACTGGGAGAGGCCAGTCAGCTACAATATATACTCTCACTGGGAGAGGCCAGTCAGCTACAATATATACTCTCACTGGGAGTGGCCACTCAGCTACAATATATACTCTCACTGGGAGCGGCCAGTCAGCTACAATATATACTCTCACTGGGAGAGGCCAGTCAGCTACAATATATACTCTCACTGGGAGTGGCCAGTCAGCTACAATATATACTCTCACTGGGAGTGGCCAGTCAGCTACAATATATACTCTCACTGGGAGTGGCCAGTCAGCTACAATATATACTCTCACTGGGAGTGGCCAATCAGCAACCATATATACTCTCACTGGGAGAGGCCAGTCAGCAACCATATATACTCTCACTGGGAGTGGCCAATCAGCTACAATATATACTCTCACTGGGAGAGGCCAATCAGCAACCATATATACTCTCACTGGGAGAGGCCAGTCAACTACAATATATACTCTCACTGGGAGTGGCCAGTCAGCTACAATATATACTCACTGGGAGTGGCCAGTCAGCAACCATATATACTCTCACTGGGAGAGGCCAGTCAGCAAACCATATATACTCTCACTGGGAGAGGCCAGTCAGCAACCATATATACTCTCACTGGGAGAGGCCAGTCAGCTACAATATATACTCTCACTGGAGAGGCCAGTCAGCTACAATATATACTCTCACTGGGAGCGCCAGTCAGCTACAATATATACTCTCACTGGGAGTGGCCAGTCAGCTACAATATATACTCACTGGGAGTGGCCAGTCAGCTACAATATATACTCTCACTGGGAGTGGCCAATCAGCAACCATAAATACTCTCACTGGAGGAGGCCAGTCAGCAACCATATATACTCTCACTGGGAGTGGCCAATCAGCAACCATATATACTCACTGGGAGTGGCCAGTCAGCAACCATATATACTCTCACTGGGAGAGGCCAGTCAGCTACAATATATACTCTCACTGGGAGAGGCCAGTCAGCTACCATATATACTACTCACTGGGAGGCCAGTCAGCAACAATATATACTCTCACTGGGAGTGGCCAGTCAGCTACAATATATACTCTCACTGGGAGTGGCCAGTCAGCTACAATATATACTCTCAATGGGAGTGGCCAATCAGCAACCATATATACTCTCACTGGGAGAGGCCAGTCAGCAACCATATATACTCTCACTGGGAGTGGCCAATCAGCAACCATATATACTCTCACTGGGAGAGGCCAGTCAGCTACAATATATACTCTCACTGGGAGAGGCCAGTCAGCTACAATATATACTCTCACTGGAGTGGCCACTCAGCTACAATATATACTCTCACTGGGAATGGCCAGTCAGCTACAATATATACTCTCACTGGGAGAGGCCAGTCAGCTACAATATATACTCACTGGGAGCGCCAGTCAGCTACAATATATACTCTCACTGGGAGTGGCCAGTCAGCAACCATATATACTCTCACTGGGAGAGGCCAGTCAGCAACCATATATACTCTCACTGGGACTGGCCAGTCAGCAACCATATATACTCTCACTGGGAGAGGCCAGTCAGCTACAATATATACTCTCACTGGGAGAGGCCAGTCAGCTACAATATATACTCTCACTGGGAGTGGCCAGTCAGCTACAATATATACTCTCACTGGGAGAGGCCAGTCAGCTACAATATATACTCTCACTGGGAGCCGCCAGTCAGCTACAATATATACTCACTGGGAGTGGCCAGTCAGCAACCATATATACTCACTGGGAGAGGCCAGTCAGCAACCATATATACTCTCACTGGGACTGGCCAGTCAGCAACCATATATACTCTCACTGGGAGAGGCCAGTCAGCTACAATATATACTCTCACTGGAGAGGCCAGTCAGCTACAATATACTCTCACTGGGAGCCGCCAGTCAGCTACAATATATACTCTCACTGGGAGTGGCCAGTCAGCTACAATATATACTCACTGGGAGTGGCCAGTCAGCTACAATATATACTCTCACTGGGAGTGGCCAATCAGCAACCATATATACTCTCACTAGGAGAGGCCAGTCAGCAACCATATATACTCTCACTGGGAGTGGCCAATCAGCAACCATATATACTCTCACTGGGAGAGGCCAGTCAGCTACAATATATACTCTCACTGGGAGAGGCCAGTCAGCTACAATATATACTCTCACTGGGAGTGGCCACTCAGCTACAATATATACTCTCACTGGGAGCGGCCAGTCAGCTACAATATATACTCTCACTGGGAGAGGCCAGTCAGCTACAATATATACTCTCACTGGGAGTGGCCAGTCAGCTACAATATATACTCTCACTGGGAGCGG